TTCCTAGTTATAGACTATGAAGTTATTTGAAGCTAGTCTAGCCTCGCATCCATGTCTCCACATGAAGCCAGTTCTAAATATGTACTCTTTCTCACTGTCAACTGCCCACAAACCATAAGGCATAGAGTAGTTTCCTATTGCTGGAACTTTATATCCATTTACTGTTCACATTACTCTCTCTCCTCTCTTCATTTGTAGAGGCAATTTCCAATCTATTATTACCAAATCACGTCGAATTATTGTAGTTACAGAACCACCAACATGCTACAAAGCTTCCCATCAATAAACCCTTAGACTCGTGGACTGGTTTATTTAAATATTAAACTTCTTATCTCATTTTGGGTAGAGAAGGCATTCTCAGCTGAATACCCAATAAATCCAGCTAATTTCTATTTCCAGATAAATGATTAGCCCTTTGTTATTCATTCTATTTAATTAGGTTTGAAGGCTCATTACTGGTGTATTAATAGTTGTTTATTCCCCAGTCTTGGTTGTAATGGCCAAGTTTCTCATATGTATAACAGTTCCCTCTTTCTGGTATTCTTTGTGGGGAGTCCTTATTCCCTACAAGCTTTTGTCTGTAGTTCCCGGCAATATGTACTTTCAAGTTACACTTGAAACACCTATTTCTTGTTGTTTTCCTTCATTCTGTCTAACTAACCCTTTTAGTTCTTTTGGACTCCTTTCTCTCCACAGTTCCAACAACCTTTTTGGGTAGCAGTCTTTCCTGCCGTGGCATCTTCCCTGTGTTGAAGTTGCTGGCATTGAGTTCTCTTGTGCCCAGGTTTGTTACAGTGCCAGCAAAGTCCCTCAAACTTCCTCGAAAGCTGCCCTTTTCTGGCATTCACTCCCGATGACTGTACCAACCTTGGTACCTCTGTGCTGGACTTAACGTAGGATTCTAATTCAAGAGCTCTAGCCATTGTATCCTGCATTGTACAGGAGCGTGCTTGCTTTACTTGTATCTTCAGTTGTGGACTGTCCAAGGCATCTACAAACTGATCCCTCAGCAAAAGCTTAAGGACATCGAGTGGTGCAGTTGGGTAGGCCTTGTGTGCCATACTTTTTTAAATTCTGTGCAAGCTCTTGCAGGCTCTCCCCTTTAGCATGGACTTTTGTCTTAAACCTAACCCTGTGGACTTCGGACTGATTTTGAGTTACATATCTGATTTCTAGAGCAGCTACTAGTGCTCTATAGTTGTGCCTGTCATCTGCTGACAACTATCCAAGTATTTCCAGTGGTTGTCCCTTTAAGATCGTTGCCAGGTACACTGCTTTCTGCTCCTCTGTCCATCCATTCATATCTGCCAGTAGCTCAAATTGTGCTCTATATGCTTCCCATGGTGTCTTCCCTTCGAATTCATGTGGCTTCCTTCGTACTAGATCACCCCTATTGCTGACACTCAAGTCTGGAATATGACTTCTGGCAGGACTAAACATGTCTGCATTAGGGTTTAGCTGCAAGGTCTGGTAGGGGGCTTCCTGTTGTCTGGGAGTGATTAGGTCCATGGCTAATATATCCTCCCTGTGTAAAAGACAGTAAATCGTCCTTTAATGTATCTAATTCACTTTGAAATTTACTAATCTTTTCCAATTGTAGTTCATGCTGATGTTGTACTCACTCTCCTTGTTCTTCTTGTCACTGTTGCTGACTTTCCTGCAGCTGTTGTAGACTTTCTTCTTGTTTCCTTTCTTGTTCCAGTAGCCACTGCTGTAGTCTCTCTTCTTGTTTATTTTCTTTCTCCTGCAACCACTGCTGTAATATCTCTTCTTGTTTATTTTCTTTCTCCTCCAACCACTGCTGTAGTCTCTCTTCTTGTTTCATTTATTTTTCCTCTAACAACTGCTGTAATATCTCTTGTTTATTTTGCTGTTCGAGTTGCCAATGTTGCAGGTTTTCTTGCCACTGCAGTTGTCTCTCTTCTTGTTTATTTTCTCGTTCTTCTTGTTTCTTTTGCTGTTCTTGTATTGTTGCCATCAAATCTGCTAAGTCGTAGTTTAATTTGCCCATTTTGGTTTCCATCTTCTTTTTTTTTTCTTCTTTTTCTTCTCTGTTTCACTCTCTGACACCAATTTGTTAAGTATCTATTTGTTTGTTAATTTCCGGCATAAATTCTTTCAGAGGAACTTCAGCGATACAAGTTCTTTCTTGATTAACCCAGTTTATTCTTCCTCAATACAAACTTTGTAATACACAGAATATCCACATTCAATACGTTTTCTCGTCGCTTTACTTAACAACCTTTATAACACACGCTATAAATCACAGTTATTCACACACTTTACTTAAAGTGCCTACTGTTCGCTTGACTCAATTACCTATCTCTCTGATGCGGTTGGTTTTTCTCGCCAGTCTTATATATATATATATATAAAGCACCTCGATCAGACTAGAGTTGCCGGGAAAATTCATGATTCTTCGAGAATCTCCAGCGCACATGCTCCCAGCGTCACGTGACTTCCGTGTGCATTGCTGTGATTTATAGCGTGTGTTATAAAGGTTGTTAAGTTTAAAGTGTCTGTGGAAATTCTGTGTATTACAAAAAAAGTTGTATCATAAAGAATAAACTAGTTTTAATCAAGAAAGGACTTGTGTCGCTGAAGTTTCTCGGAAAGAATTTCTCCGGGAAATTGGCAAACCAGTAGATACGTAACAATATTAATTTAACAGAAACACCACAACATGAACAATATTTTTCTGTAGTAGTACTTTTTTTTACATCTTTTAAATGGGGGATCTTTGTTACATACACAAAATACAAAATCTTAGCGTTTTGCACATTTCTTTATTTTATTATTTCTGTTTTGTGAGAGATCTAGTGACTTAATTTTGTTTGTAGATAATCCCAAAACTACAAAATGGGCCATCTTTACCCTGCCCACGCTGGTATCTAAACAAGATATTTAGCGTTATAAGCCCTGTTGCGACAGCGAGTCACATGACTACAGTGACGCAACGTTTCTAGAATTATCAT